ATATCAAATAAACTTTGAATATTCCCCAATTAAATAAGTGGAATATAGTTTCATACCGAATGCTTTTCGCATATATTCAAGACAATCGGAGAAAAGAAAACGAGTTAAATGTAGTTGTATTGTTGTTAATTCTTGTTGAAGTTCAATAACTTTAAATTTTTCTATATAATCATGATGTGCAGCAAGAAACTCGGACTAAAATTTAACGACAATAAAACGTACTAAATACTATCGGAATCATTTTCTTACTCGACAATTATCAATAATATGAACAATATAAAACATTGATAAATTTTTTTCCGTTTTTCTACTTTGTTCATTTAATTTTTTTTTGCTATTTCACATAATTTACCCAATGAATCAATTAATAATTGATAATCAATACGTTTTATTGATGTATATTTAAGTAAACGTTGAATAAGTCGTATCATTAAATACAGCTCAATATTGTTCACCTAATTCAATGTTATGTTCACGAATCTATTCGAAATAATTTTTATTTTTTACATTATCTATTCAATGAAATAAAATTACATTAAGATAAGCATAAAAACGAGGATTCTTTTTTTTTATCTAATGTATGAATCGCTTCCATTGTTTTGGCATAAAATTTTCTAAAATCTATTAGAAAAACAAAATAAAAGTTATATTAAAAATAATATTGGAATTGATTACAAAAAAATAGTGCATTCAAAAATGAAAGTAACGATCTGTATAGATGAGTTAATGTAATACAAGAAAATTCAACTAGTCCGCCACTGTTGCAATTAAAATTCAATAAGTATCCGACTCCAATCGGATCAGAAGAATTTTGACCTATGTCGCACGCTACTGTACAATATGAATGATTTGTTCAGTACGGGGCTGCCAGATCTTCCGAATTTTGAATATTTTTTCGTGACCTGTTATTTCTCTAGATTCGAGATTTAATGACTTTGGTTATAACTTCTAATTTAACTTTCATTAGCAATTCATACGCTGTCGTTGTTCTACTGTAATCATTCCATAATACAATTTTGAGACTATTTATAATGTAAGATCGTTTGAATTTAAAATCTATCCGAACTCAATGAATACTTTGTGTTGTTTAAAAAAAATGTCATTTGAATCAATAACTTCTTTGACATGGACTGAACTTTAAGTTTAGAAAAGTATTATTTTACATGAAAATTGTATCTTGTTATCCTGAATTAAATTCAGCCATGAATGATGAAGATGATGATTCAGATGTGTATTTAAGTGAGATTGAAGAAAGAAATAAGTATATCGGCAACAATTTTTGCACAAAATGTTGATAGAGCAACACACATGTCCATAAAAAAGGTGGTATATATATTTGATAGTAAAGCAACTGCTTTCCGAACTCTTTCCGAAGTAGAATATAAAAAATTTCAAATTTTGGTTAAAACATTTCGATTTCTAATTTTTCGATCTGGCAACCCTGGTTTAGTACGAGAAGAATTTCATTATAGTCTACGAAAACTGAAATACATCAAAAACATCAAATCTCGTTAGGCTCGATATATTTTTTTTCTAATGGTTTTATTCGACTGATAAACAACAAGTAGAAAAAAATGTATGCTTTCTTTTTCAAAACTATTGTTTGATTATTGAGAAGTGAGTTCATATTCAGACTTTGCTGTCGTATCGAACAATCAAACAATGTTTGTAGAAAAAGTATACATAGTTTTTTTCTTAAATATATGACCAGTAAAGCCTTAGAAAAAATATCGAACCTGTGAGATTAGATCATTTTAAAATATATATATATTTATTTTTTTTGTAAATTTAGCTTTACCGATAATAACATTGTTCAAGTCTATTAACAACAGAATATTTTCACAAGTAACTCAACAGACGCTATAATTTTTTTTAACTAGTAAAATATATTTCATTGAATACTTATCTTACTTGAAAAATATTTAATAATATTGTAAAATTAATATTAGTTTTTATTCGATTTCTCTTATATTCCATTCCAATTAAATACTAATTATATATGTTAATATTTTGTTCTTTATAATAATATTGTCATCAAATACATACACATTTTAATAGTTGTATTGAATAATAAATCAAGTAACGGACTATTAATCATATGTTGATGATGAAAATAATAATAATGAAGAAATCTGACGATGTTGTTGTTTAATTATTAGTTAAATTAATTGTACACATGGATTTATCAACATTATTCATTAAACATAAAAATCTCCAAATCACTAAAAACATTATTATATATACATTTTTTAATCTTTTTTCTTTGTTGATCTTGATGTGTATAGAATAGATATGTTGATATAAATAAATTTTTATTCAAAAGAAGAATATATCTTGTTTCATTCTTTTCTGTTGTGATAAATCCACCTAACAAAGAAAGATTTTTTCAACCTTCTGTAATGGATTATTTTGATCTAAAATTTTGTTGATATTTAGATATGTTCATCCAAAAAGAATATTATTGTAAAAATTTAAGTGTTTAAAAACTTCCATTGTTTTGTTTTTTTCGATAGTCTATGCAATTGAATCAACAGTTTTTAACATTAAGTATGTCTACTTAAGTAATAGTTCGTCTGATGTAATATATTTTGTATTTTATCATAACAAATAAAATAATTATACATAAATGTTGTTATTGAGTATCATTAACAAAAATAAACAAAACAATTCCATTTTCATTCCAAATGAGATACAATCTAAAAACAAATTCATAAATAAATCATTATATATGTTAATGTTAACAAGAGAGAAAGGAAAGAAAAAAGAAATATATGTGACGAGGAGAATTTTCTTTTTTTTTTTTATCTTTCTCTCGTCCATAAATTATTGTTCATGTTGTTATCATTGACGATCAATGATCAACATGTATAATTAAATATGTCGGCTTTCACAAGCGTAACGCGATGACGATTTGTCCACAGTTTTTTCAACATTTCTCAGTGACGGGATATATTTAGAACTTAATTCATCCATCAAAAGACGCATCTCTTCGACTCTCAACACATTTGAAAATATTAGTCTTTTTTAGTGTAAGTTATCTGAAAATAGTAGTGAAATTTTATGACCAAACGCGATGACGAAAAAGGGACAAAAGATTGAGGGTGGTGCAACTGCCATTGATTTTTCTGCGAAATTATGTTTATTAAGGAAATCGTTCTATAGTGATTCGATAGTTGACTTTTCAGTGCATCAGATGGAAAAAAGAAAATTTCGAAATGAGCATTTTGTTTGGATGAAAAACCGTATCTAACAACGTAACGCGATGACGGTCTCGTAACGCGATGATGCTTAATTTTAAGGGTATTTTTTTCTGAACCACTGCTTTTGCCTACCGAAGCAATTACATACAGAAAACAATAGTTTAGTCATTATTTTATATGATCACATATTACCTATCAAGTTTATTGATTATTTCATAACACAAAGTATAAAAAAGGAAAATTTAGTCAAGTATAATATCAAAGAGTTAATGCATAATAAAAGTGAGTAAAAAATCTACACAAAATACAAAAAAAAAACATTGCAATAATGGTTCGATTTCTATAGTATTATTTATATGAACAATGATTTCATTAAGGTAAAATTGAAGAAATGTGAACTGAAATCCTAATGATTCTATAATCTGTCACAAGAAAAATATTCACAGTAAACTCAAAACGATCTTTTTTAAAAAAATACTAATATTTAAATCTCAAATCGATGTGTTTTTTTTGTCGAACTATTCGAGTAATATTTATGTTCGATTAAGTTGTTTGAAAGCACATTAATTGAATGTATTTTTTTAGTCTCTGGCACTGACTTGAGTGATTGAAAGATTGGTTCTAGTTTTTTTTTAGCATTATCGATTTGATACTGATCGATTTCATATAGTTCGATATTATTTGTCTTTGATCGACCAATATTAATAAAATCAGATGCTGAAGTACATTTTTGTCCACTTAGGACAGATCGATATACGAGACGTTTTATGGATCCGCCAATCCCGTCTACGACACCTTTGCCATGACTTGTGGCAAAAAAATGCCACGACAACTGTATCTAAAAAAACATTAGAAAATCGACTCAATCAAGTTCTTATAAATAAAACTTCCATATTTACGTTAAATTCTTCAAATAAACGACATAAATTTCTAAACAAGAACTTCTGCTTGAATTGCTGAGCAGCACCATCGGAAAAAATATGTATTTGTTTCAAGTGATGGAATTTCATTTTCAACTTATTAAATAAATCATCGAGTATTGTACTTATACAATACTTATCATGAGATAAATTATTTGAAACATAAACAATTGAATAACTAATATCCAAGCTCCAAGCATAACAAGTAAATAATGAGACAGCAGTTTTTGTATAAAAAGATCCTTGTACAGCATCTTGAACTTCTAACTTAAAGTTTTCACTATAATCAACCTGGAGACAAATTGTTTCATTATCCAAATTTGATTTGATCATTTCAAAATATGCAGCTTGTCGTCTCTTGATAAAAACATGTACCAAAAATGAATCGAGTTGTGCTTCAAGTGTATTTAAACATTGATGGACTGTACCATTAAATTCTTGTTTTTCTGAATATCCATTTTTTAAAACCCATTGATACCATTGAATTTTTTGTGCTGGATTAAGTACATACTTTCGAAATTTATTATCAAAATAATTAGTACACAATGAACATCGTCGAAACATACAATTTTCATCTTCTTCGGTGCACACAAGTGCTTTTGAAAATGCTTGAATTGTACATAAATTTGAATTATTAATACACTTTGACAATGGTTTTATTAATAAATTAATATTTTCGTGGTAAGAACATAAACAATTTCTGTGTGGCATATGAGAATAAGTTAATACATTAGGTGGACGTAAAATACGAAATGAATTAACTGATAATGCATCATTAGTAATATTACGATCCATTAAAAATAATTCATATGTTTCTCGAATGCTATTCAATAAAATTCTTTTTTGCAATTGTGTTGAACCATTATCATCCTTTATTGTAACATAATCACGTTTGCCAGGCATTTGATGACTAATATCATCACGGTTGTAAAAGTCAATCACAGCTTGTTTTAATTCGATTGGTAACTGTCGTTGTTCACGTTCGTGAAGATCAGTTGTTGTTGAAATAATATCAAGTGTTTGTGCTATATGACGAACTACACTAATACGTTTATTTGGTTCTTTTGGTAATGATTTCTGAACACGTTTAATAGCTTTACCGAATGATTGACGATTTTTGTAAGTTGATGATCGATTATCATTTAATCGTTTTAATTTTAATCCATCACGATACTTCTTCGATGCAAATTTTTTTCGCATACGTAATTGATTTAATGCATCACCTGTCAAGCTTTTGCGTCTTGCATTATCTCGCATTCGAGACTTTTGCTTTATATGTTCAAATTTCAATTTGTTTTTTGCTAAATTGGCACGATATATTTTTTGCCTTTCGGCATTGGATTTTGCCATTTTTAACAATGAGTACTTGAGTACTATAAATTGTATTTAATTGATTTATATGTAAAAAACAGTTTCTTAAACAAAATTCTGTTGAGATCTTCGTTTTACAAAACAAGAAATCGAAAATGTCAATAGATTTCAACAACAGCTGTACTTATGAGAAATTGATAGGTTTGATTGGTAAATCTATTTTTATTATAACGACTTTGCTAATTAGAACCAATCAGAATATTCTCCAATGAAAATCATTTTTACAAGTATTAATATAAGCAGCCATTACACACAGTTGAGAATTATATTTGAGTAATTCATGAATACTTGTAAGTTTTTGTTCATAAGCCTTTCTTATAACAAATTGCGAAAAATCGTCATCGCGTTACGGAAAAAAAATTTAAAAAGGAAATTTTTTCCCTGAAAATACGTGCACTAGATAGCTCATGAAAAGTTAGCTTTACACGTGTCTTTTTAGACCAGATTGTTTTGTATCAACAGTAGAAAAAAAAACAATAATGATTTTTTGTTACGCGATGACGGTATAAATATTGCCTTTTCTCTCACACTCTCTGTACAAAAATACAAAGAATAGAAAATCAATTCTTTTGCTAGTAGATGCCTTTACTAATGTACAATTAATACGTAATTATCAATCGTGTATATATTGAGAAGTTCCGATAAAAAGGTTAATTAGTTAAATGGATCAAACTGACTAATTTCTATCATAGCGTAGTGACATCTTTGCGAGGAAAAGCTAAACGCGATTTAAAACGTCTATGACCGAACAAGATATGTTTTCATATATTTTCGACTATGCCCTACAACCTTCAAATAACAGATTCTCAGATTAATGATTTCGAATTTCCGGTGCCAGAGGTGACGCGTTACGATTTTTTGCCGATGTATATCATTTTCGACGAGAGAAAAAAATGATTTTTCAAGGTATATATACGAATGATTTTCTATGTAAGATCATTCAAATTCTTGAATCAAATAATAATCATTTTTCTTTTCTGTTTTAGATTGGCCTCAATGATACAATATTACTCAAATCAGGATCAAGCCATACAATAAAAAAAAATGTAGGTATTAGTTTTACTTTTTTTTTATTTTACAATCATAAGGATGGTGGGGTAAGGCCTCCTTTGATCTTTTTATTATTTTCTTTTTTATTTTAGGGAATAAACAATGAAGAAAAAGATAACATTAGGGTAAGTCATCTCATTCTATTTCATTAAATAACACTGATTCAATTTTTTTTTCTATTCCTTTCAGCTATCAATATCATCGCGTCATCAACATCAGACACGGTAAGTAATTTTCTTTTTTTTTTGAGATGAGAATAGGTAGGGAGATTGAGAGGTTAGGGTGAGACTAAGAAAAGTGAGTGTTAGTGAGAGACGAGGGTGAGTTCTGTTCGTTGAGGGTTAGGGTTTCGTCTCTTATGAAGGACTTCCTGGTAGTCCCTAAAAGCTCGGCCAGGAATCGTCTTGGTGTCTGTGGCACACGACCAGGCTTATTCAGACTCATTGACATATCTCTCGCGCGGAGGGTATGAATGATATGAGTCTGTCCTGCGCGTGCATGAGCGTTACGCTCGCCACGGCTCCACCAGGATGGTTCCTGGTCGCGCGCGCGCGAATAGAATAAGCCATTCATTTCATCAATTCAATGGGATTTATTTGAAACGAAAGGAACGCAAAAAAAATCTATCAAGACGAGTCTATTCGATTGAAAAACGTTGAACACGATGATTCCGCTCATCGACGACATAGAGATTGCCATGTCGATCGAAGGACAAACCTCGGGGACAGTTGAACTGATTTGCTCCTGCTCCACCATTTCCACCCACAATGACAGTGCCCTGTTTCGCTTCTTTAGGCCAACGCATCACTCGATGATTCCACGAGTCTGCCACATAGATGGTACCCAACGTATCGACGAACAGTCCGTAAGGATACGACAATTGTGTCAGAGCATTCCCTTCGCCTTGACCTCCAGCGACGACAATTCCTTCTTTTGCATCTTTATTCCATTTCATTACACGATGATTGTTGTTGTCTGACACGTAGACAGTCTGTTGTTGATCGACAAAGATGTAGGTCGGCACACTGAGCTGATTGAGACCAGTACCTTGGCCATTGCCACCAGCTACAAGAGTTCCATTCTTGTCTCCTATTTGATATCGTCTTACTTCATTTTTGACGTAGTCAGAGATGTAGAGATATCTCTGATCATCCATGGCCAATCCATAGCAAAGGATGTTGCCGATGAGAATTTCTCCTTGAGTTGTACCACTACGACGAGACCATCGTACAACTCGTCGATTCAACCAATCACAAATAATGAGACTATCCGTCTCTTTGTCAATCAACACATCGGTTGGACCTTTCAATTGATCCAATCGATTTCCTTGGCCATTGCCACCAGCTACTACTTGTCCATTCGTATCACCCATCTTCCATTGGATGATACGATTATTGGTGAAGTCAGCGATGACCATCGTTTGATCATCATCAACGAAGAGACCTTGAGGGTAGTAGAATTGATTGGTGACACTGTCTGATCCATGACCTCCAGCAATGGTCACTCCATTCTGTGCCCATCGGGCATCGGCTGGAATATTGGGAATTACTACAATGAACGAAAAAGAAAAGGAATCGTCGTTGTCGAAGGGATCTTGTCTCTCGTAAGAGCAAGCGCTACAAATATGACATTCGTCTTTGAGAATGCTCATTCCACAGATAAAAATTCAGAAATATTTTCCTAGTTTCTTATGAGAAAAAAATGATTTGGTAACGATTCTTACATCTATGTTACTTCTAGTTTTTGCCAAGATCTTTTTCATCATAAAAATAACACGTGGAGATTGCTGTAAGGAGATTCTCGAAGAAAGAGTAATGCTAATTCCATGTGAGTTTTTGATAGAAAAACATAAGGATCTGAGGATTTTTTTCAGAATTGCAAGAATTCAGAATCTTTTTGGCAGAATGATCATTTATATGAATATAAGAGGAGATTCTATCTGTATCTTGTGAGAAGAATATCGAATCGTTGAACAACAAAATATCAAACCTAATCCCTATGTTTTTTAGGAAACCTAAAGGATACATGATTCCCTGTATGATGAATGTAGATCTGCCGAAGAATCTCCTAAGTATTTGCATAGAGAATGCCGGTGAAATTTTATAAGACTTTTGATAAGTTATGTCAACCTGTTCGAAGAACAATCGTGATGTACTCTGAGTAGGATCGTGAGAAGGCTGGGATACAGGCGAAACCTGAACAAAGTTGAGAGGACTCCACCCGAATCTATGTAATCTGAGAGGGCTTCTACTTTTGCAAATGCTGAAAAGATGGATGTCAATCCGAACGGAACTCTCCAGTGAAAAACATTGGGATCTATGGATTTTATGGGTTTTGAAAAGAAAGTGTTCTAAAATGCTATTTTTAACTTTTGATGAGCACCATCTTCAGACCATTGTATTAGGGTCCTCGAAGAGAATCTTGATGACTAAATAAGATACTCTGTCAAAATCTGAAAATCTAAAAATAATGTGTATCTTCTATGAGGATCATGTTATAATCCTTATGTAGTACTTGTTCTGAGAAGTCTTCTATAAGCTCGCATGTTATGGATATGTTCAGGAGGATCTGAAAAGTAAGTATTTTGGAATGGTTGATATCAGAGTGAAAAGCTGTTAGCGCAATCCCTTGCGGGATTAAAAATGTGAAACACG